AAATTGCTGTCCTTTAACATGACAACAGTCCCATTCCAGTCATATGCCCCAACTGCTCCAAGCATGATCCAGTCCTTTACAAACAGCAGAAAAATCATTGCATTACTATATTCTTGGGGAGATTTATACTGGGGAATAAACCAAAAAAGGGGACTATGCTGGGCAGCCAGCTTATGGGTGGACAAAGTAGAGCAATTCAGTCATATATCAGTATTTGATATATAAGCATAACAAAACAGAAAAAAGAAAATATGAATTCAAAATTGGTATGCCAGCATGTATTTGTTCCAGATGTTTAGTAGGTTCATAATCAGCATCTTTAAATGGAAATCCCTCAATATTTTTGGTAAATACGAGACATTACTAAACAGTTTTCCTGTTTTAATTTAATCTGAGAAGTAAATATAGAACATAGAATAAGGTCTTCTAATTCAGCTCCTTGCTCATGCAAGAGATCCTATACCATTCTGAACAAATAGTTGTCCTTGAAAATCTCCAGTGATGGAGCATCTACAATTCTGAAGGTAAGCTGTTCCACTGATTAATTATCTCCCTGTTAGGAAATTTCTCTTTAGCTGTAGGTTGTATCTTATCTATGCTAGATTAGGTTAGCATCTCAGATATCATCCTGTTTCATGCATCCTGTTCAAATTAATCCTAATATATGGAATCATTTTTTTTTGCAATTTCAAATCAGCAAGAGTCATCCTGAATAGCCCTGGTTTCTGATGCCTGCATATTCCTACTGAATATTTTGAATTGCTGTGATATCCAATAAATGTTTTATTGTTGTTGTTCAGTAGCTAAGGCTGACTCTTTGCAACCCTATGGACCAAATGGCAACCCAGTCCAGTATCCTTGCCAAAATAACCCATGGATAGTATCAAAAGGAGCAAGGTACTTTCAATAAATAAGTCAAAAGTTCTTGCAGTTCATAAAGATTAGTTTTTAATTGATTAGCAAAACATATTGTAATATTTCTCTCTGTGGAGAAAGTATAACATACCCAGTTTCTTTTCTTTCTAACTGAATTTAGTTACTTTACCTGAGAATAATGGGCACTGAAGCCAACTTGAGACATTTCCATTTCAAAAGAGGCTGCCTGTTGATCATTGGTAGCTGTAAAACAGAAAATATTTAGTGTTTTAGCATAGTTGATTGAAAATGCTAGTATGACTGTAAGGAATTAGAAACAAGAAAAGACTAGATTAAGGGTTAGGAATGTCCAGACTGACCAATACATTAAATACTTAGAAATGTATCTGAAGAAGTGAGTGTGGTATCCTGAATCCATATTTACCATAGAGATTGATAAGGTGACATCCAGCTTTGAGGCCACAATTTACCACATGGACACTGGTTACAGTAGATAAAACATTTAATTCATCAGAAAAGCACAAATCTATGCCCAACTTTTCACTTGTTGCAATACAGTATGTAACAAGTCTTATCATCCTTGAAATTCTCTGCATTAACTTTGAAAAATTTGTTTTATATGAAGTTCGTTATAGTTTTAACCTACGGCAGCTTCGGCCTCAGCCTTTTGGAAATTAAGACTCTCACGGAGTAGATTCATGCTTTGGTTCAACATTGTTTTCAAAGAATTCCAGTGGAATTCTAATGACTGAAATGTGAAAAGGCTATGTTTATAAAAATCATACAATTATCTCTCCAGAGTCCCAGGAGGGAAGGGCCCTTTCTCAGAGACCAAAAAGAAAGCAAAACCTGGAATCATTGGTATGCAGGAAAAAGGCAAAGGCAGAACTTTCCTAGCAATTCACAGAGTATATTTAATAGTTATGCAGATTGTTGCTTTAGCCTGGCAAGATTTCTATCAATAGGTGAATATAATAAATAAACTAGTCAGAAGTAACTCTAGGTGCCGTTCTTGATTTCTTAAGCCTATCATTAATCTTGCCAGATTCTGTACTCCTAAGAAGAAGGAAAATCTTGAGAATGGTGACAGACACCCAATTTCTTTGCAGCAGCTAGCAGACACATTGCTATGACATCATTAAAAAGTTGACACACAGATCTCAAATTTACAAGCAACCTTTGTGCAACTTTTGCAACAGATGTGACTGAGTGCCCTACAACCAGTGGGTGCAGCAGTGTCAGGCACGAAAGACCAGGGTCACATGTAAAGGTTCAATTAAACTGATTTATTGATAAAAGTCTGTGTAGAAGAATCTTTTCAACTTCAGGACCTGCTTAGAATTAGACAAGGGTTAATGGCACTCAAGGGGGGTTGGACTGCTACATAGGGATTCTAGGCTGATCCCTCTTTTCACTCGACCCACAGGTTTGGTCATCTGTTCTCCTACAGATGTGCTGCCATCCTCCATGTCTGAGGAATTATCCCTGTCAGGTGACTCCTTGGAGGAAGCCACTCTCCTGACTGCCCCTAGCTGCATCATCGCTTCTGCGTAAGTTTGGAAAAGCAGTAGTGTGGGAAGAGGGTCTCATGAAACTCAACTTAAACTGGGTTTATATATCCCTCCCTGACTCTGTTTCAACTTTTCTAGTTGGGCATCTGTCACTATGCAACACTGGTACAATCCCTCCAAGGCCTATGGAAAGTCCCATGTCATTAGTTCATACTGCTTAAAAAAATCGTGCCATTATTTAAATATACATTTTTTTTCCTCTTCACACAGTACGGAAATTGGAAGGAAACCTGGGGCTACATGTGTTACTTTCTCTTTTGTGCATATATAACTTCCTTGGAACACAGCCCATGTTTATAAGCAAGACAGTGGTTACTTTTGCAGAAAACAGGAGCAATATATATCTCTTAATGGAGATAAACTAAAACACTGGAAGCCATTAGATACAAGCATGGTTTTCTTAAAAAACCTTACCATTTGAATAAGGTTCATAACCTAATATTAGTAATGAAATGGCAATTCATATATTTTGATGAGTGCATTTTTATATTTATTGTCTTCCTGGTCTTATGGTTGTGTTTTCCATAAAGAAGCTTAGTTTGATAACTCAAAAAAAGATGGACATAAAGTATAAATGTGAAGTATACACAGATGTTTTCCTTGCTGGGGAATATAATCACTTACACATTATTTGGATTTCTGCCTAACGTTTTAAAGCATTAGTAGTGCATTAAGCACTGCAAAGAAGAACGGAAGCAATCTTCTTGCTGCCAAGATAGTTTATAAATGAAGAACAGGATATGGATAGGGATTGTAAAGGATTAAGAACAACTGAATGGAGGAAATTGACTAATACGGAACATGTCACAGTTTAAGTGACAGCAAACTCAGAATCTCAGATGAAAAGATATCAGTTCAGTTTTGTAAAGTTATGATTCCAGAAAAAGGGAGGGAGGGAGGAGGGGAGGAAGGTACAGTCCATCAATTCTCATGTATGAATTGGTATGATTAGGGCATTTACAGTATGTTACGTGGTTTTTACCTGAATCTGAGATATCAATGATACAGTTTGGTTCTAATTGTGACACAGAGCAGCATGGAAGGAAAATAGACTAAGTCAGCGTTTCTCAACCTGTGGGTCGCGACCCCATTTGGGGTCAAACGACCATTTCACGGGGTCGCCAAACAACGCAGTTCGCCATTTTTTCCCCCATTTTCAACGCAGTCCGCCATTTTTTTTTACCTTTTCCTTAGCTGTGCTACTCCCTCTTATTATATTGGCTTTTGAAAGCCAATAGAATAGACTCTATTCAAGAGACTCTATTCTATTGGCATTCGAAAGCCAATAGAATCTATTGGCTTTCGAAAGCCAATAGAATAGACTCTCTTGAATAGAGTCTAATTCTATTGGCTTTCAAAAGCCAATAGGAATTGTCCAGGCTGTCTCTGCCCTGCTGAGCCCGGCAAAAGTCCCAGTCTGCAAACGGTGCTGCAAGTTGTCTGCAGCTAAGGTGAGCTTTCTGGACGTTTCCACCCCTCCCTGCTGAGCAACTCCCAAAAGTAAGTAAAAGAGGGCCAGGGGTGGGAGGTGGGAGGCCGGTGGGCGCAGGCAGGGTTGCTGGCACGTGTGGGGCCCGGCGGGTGCTTACCTCCCTTGGGCTGGGCCAGCTGGTGGCCCAGCCGGTGGTCGGCCTGCGTCCTCGCTGCCACTTGCCATGGCCGCCCAGGAGCGCCTGGGCCTGCCGCCGCACCGAAAGTGCGGTGGCCAAGGTAAGGCTAGCGGAGCAGCGGTGGGCACAGGGAGGGTTGCTGGCGCGCGTGGGGCCCAGCGGGTGCTTACCTCCCTTGGGCTGGGCCAGCTGGTGGCCCAGCCGGTGGGCAGCCTGCGTCCTCGCTGCCGCTTGCCATGGCCGCCCAGGAGCACCTGGGCCTGCCGCTGCACCGAACGGGCATCTTGCTCCGCGATTGCCGGCTCCGCACAAAAGTTTCTTTTTCTTTCCTTTTCTTTTCTAAATTCTACCCCCCTTTCTCCCCCTCTCCTGTCCCCTCTCCCATTCTTTTCTCTCCTCTCTTTCCCGGCGGCGAGATTCGGCCGGCTGAGGGGGTCGCTCTAGCTCGAGCAGGAGAGCCATCTCTATGCTCCTGGGTCATGTGTGGTCGTGCGTGTGGGTCACGTGTGGTCACGTGGGTGCGTGCATGTGGGTCATGTGTGGGTCACGTGGGTGTGTGCGTGTGGTCACGTGGGTGCGTGCGTGTGGTCACGTGTGTGTCACGTGGGTACGTGCGTGTGGTCACGTGGGTGCATGGGGTCACGGCATTAGGAAGGTTGAGAACCGCTGGACTAAGTGCATGGAAAGACATCATCCAGGTTCAGATATGCCACCATCTAGAGGTTATAAAGGCAGGTGATTCTCAATAAAAAGTTATGAGGACAGAGCTTAAGTTAAAGCCTCATTCTTTCCCAGCACAGTACCTTTCCTAATCAGGATTGCAACTCCCAGAATTTCCAAATTTGCATGAACCTTAGAGGATTTAATATGTGTAATTCAGCCATACAGTGTACTATAGAGGACGAGAATGGTTTTATAGCTGAAGAAGATTTAAACACAATAACAAGTAACTATCTCAAGACATTAATCTGCAGATCAATCTACATTAATAGAAGCCCTGACTATGCAATCCCATCACAATTTCTGTAATGAAGTGTCTAACTGTTCCCTAGGCAGCATCCCTTCAACTCTTCTCTCAAAGTCTTTCTCACATAACATCACAATTTCTGTTGTCACAGATCGTCCCAGTTAAGTATCTATTTGAGTTCTAGAAGACTAGTACTAGAACTCACTACCAGAACTTATCTTCCTGTCATAATTTTGGGAGAAAAGGAGAAGCATTTTTTTTGCCATCTCACTAATCTGCAGAGTGCATGGCCACTAAAAATAAAAATTACAATCACAAAAATACTAGAAAGTTTTACTTCCCAGAACTTCCAGTATAATAAAGCACTTCTCCAGTCCAATCTTAACTTCTCTAGCCAATGGATTTTGAGTTAGAGTAGGACTAGGTATCAGGCCTAATACAGCAATTATTATTTGTTTACAACAAACAGAAAATCAAAGTACATGAATAAAACAAACAAAACACCGGAAACAGAGGAAAAAAAGCCCCCATACCTTCCAAGGCAAATATTCTTTCTCCAAGAGCTTCAACAATTGTAAGGAGAGCTACTTCATTTGAGACATTAAAGAAATGCTTTTCAGTTGGCCTGCTTGCAATGGATTTGATTTCCTCCACTAATTTCTCAGGGTTTCGATTTCCTCTGTTATAGGAGCCAAGAATCTGTGGTATGGTATGCAGAAAAAAAA